TCTCTTACCTCCGGGGCCTGGGATTCCTGAGGGCCAGTCTTAGCACTGAAGACTGAAGCAAAGAAAGCATTCAGTAGCTCTGCCTTCTCCGCATCCTCCGTCACCAGGAGACCCGCCTCATTCAGCAGCAGCCCCACATTGTCCCTAGCCTTCCTTTTGCTGCTGATGTAGTTGAAGACGCCCTTCTTGTTGTTTTTGACATCCCTTGCCAGCTTCAATTCCAGGTGGGCCTTGGCCTTCCTCGTGGCATCCCTGCATGCTCTCAGCACGTTTCTGTACTCTTCCCAAGTGGCCTGCCCCTCTTTCGACATTCCATGGACCTTTCTCTTCTGCCTGATCTCCGCTAGAAGCTCCTTGTTTAACCATGCAGGTCTCCTGCCTCCTTTGCTAGATTTTATAGATTTCTGCATAATCTATATGAAAGTTTGATTTTGAGACAATGTACGTGTATTGAATATTGTTGTCTTTTTCTTTTTTTTTCTTTTTCTTTTTTTTTTTTTTAGAGTATTACAATAACACAATATTTCACAGAGTAGTGCCTGGCTTTATAGTGCAGGGAGGTGATCCCACTGGTACTGGATCAGGTGGAGATTCAATCTATGGAGCTCCCTTCAAGGTATGTATCTGTATTTGCATTAATTTTTGGTTATGTTCTATCAGTTGTTCTTCTGACCATGTTAGGTTGTGAGAAAACAAACATATGATAAATTCAACATTAAGCATGTACAGTAATTGCTTTCACACGTTGCTTCTATATTTTTGAATATGTCTTTTTAAATTGAGAGTTCTTAAATCTAAGTGTTCTAATATTATCATAAATGTATGGCCTTACTGGCATGAACTTCACAAGGAAAAATAGGGAGGGGGAAGAGTAGGTGTTGACATGTGACAGACTCAGATGTAGAAAGGTATGTTGTTTATGCACATGGTATCTCCTTTAGCAAAGGTCTCAGTGTTGTGTATGTGTTCATTGGCATTATTGATACCAGCATGGCTCGTATCTTAACTAGGAGGCTCAGATCCTAAGCGAACATACACATGCACAGCAGCTGTGTTCTCTTCTACCTGAATGTTTTATTTCAGATGGGGCAGGCACCTTTAACTTGTGACTGAAGCTGCATAGCCAGCCTATGGGCCTCCCATATCTGCTGCTAGAATAGGCTCAAACATGTAGCGCAAATGTGAAGTTTGCAGAACGGATTGCTACCTGAGCAGAGAACAAAACGAGTATTACCACTATTGTAGTAGTGTCGCTGCTTAACATTAGTGGTATCGCAATATTACAGTGTTTAGAACTGTGATGCTACCATGATTTCAATATATTACTCCTCGCTTTCACCTTGCTTTGAAAACAGACCTATTCTGTTGTCTTATGGTCCAGAAAATGTTCTTCCAATACAGTACTATTACAACCTGCTATTGAGCTTCCAGTTGTTTTATATAAATTAGGACTTTTCTGCTAAGTACAGTGGTTAGCAAGAACAATAGTGTTACAAGAACTGTATGGAATGCAGTTACTTTTAGAAGTGCTTTGGATTTATTTTAATGTTGAGGGATAATAAATTCCAACAAAAGTAACGAATAACAAATGATTATTAGGCAATGACTGGAAAAAGAGAAAGTTAACAAGGCAGAACTTAGAGTTTTTAGGAAATCATGTGTCTTTCTATTATTCATATACTGGTTTCTAGTTTTTTTCTTTTGGTGTTTGTTGGTTTTGTGTTTATGGTTTCTTTTGAAAGAAGATTGTTCTTCTTATTTGCATTATTGTAGGCACTAAAGAAAAAGCATTGGCTAAAAATAATTTTTCTGCTGAAAACAGAAGCTTTTAAATATAATTGTGGCATTAAAGACCTTGTTTTTATTACTGTCTGAATTTAAAACAAAACCAATAGCATATTTTCTGTGTGTGCATATGGATGTAAATAAGCTGTAGCTAAAGAAATTGATAAAATAGTTACATACTTAAGTCGTGTTCTTTTCTCTTCTGTCTTTGCCAGGATGAGTTCCACTCCCGGTTGCGATTTAATCGAAGAGGACTTGTTGCTATGGCAAATGCTGGGCCCCATGATAATGGGAGTCAGTTTTTCTTTACATTGGGTCGTGCAGATGAGCTTAACAACAAGCACACAATCTTTGGAAAGGTCTGCTACTCGTACTAGAGTCCCAGATTGAGTTTGACAGAAGCTACAATAAGTTTCTTTGTATTCAAAGGATATTTTAGTGTTGTTTGCTGCTACATACGTTTGAAGTTGATTTCCTTGCTTTCTAAGCTGTCTTCATTCACTTTGTTTCCCATGTCTGGTAGAAATGTTTCCATGGGTTGCGCCCACAATTATCTACTTTGCTGTTATTATTCTTCTAAATTATATTTCATGTTGTGCTTCCTTTGAATAATCTTACTAATATTATTACAGCTTTGCCTTATTAATCAGTTCATCTAATACTAGTGACATTTTAGAAAATGCTGTTTGTAAATTCTAATTACCAAGAAGAATCAGGAAAATTAAAAACATAAGATGAATTTACTACTCTCATGATTTACTTGAAAGAAGATAAACCAACTTTTTTTATTTCACAGTGTCTTTTATTTTCCTGTTTCACAGCTCACAGTAAGAATTTGACATCTTCCCCTGCATACACTCAAAAACGCAGGTTTAGCTACCTGTAGTCCTTCAGCTTTTGCTGTTAAATTTAACAAACCTTTGTACATATTTGCTGTCTTTTAGTTTTACACGCTTACAGTATTTCCTATATAATTTGTATTTTCAAAATTCTTTACATAATAATTGCCTTTCAAACCTTTTTTGTAAATTTGACAGGTTACAGGGGATACAATATATAACATGTTACGCCTGGCCGAAGTAGAAGTTGACAAGGAAGAGAGACCTCTCAGTCCACACAAAATAAGAAGTAGCGAAGTGAGTGTGTTCTGGTTTGAAACGTGAAGTTTTAAAATTCTTTTGTTCATAGCATTCAGAAACCTGTGAAGTAGTATGAATACTTGGCGTGTCTTTTTATGTATTCTTTTTATATATATAATCATTTAATTATAACAAAATATTTAAAGAAGATATGTCTAAAATACTACTTTTTTAACAGGTTTTGTTTAATCCGTTCGATGACATTGTTCCAAGACCAAATAGAAAGCTGAAGAATGACAAACCAGAAGAAGAAACTAAAAAGTCCAAAGTAAAAGGCACAAAGTAAATATATACAGCATAAGTCATGGTTAATTTTCTTTTACCTTTAATTTGCAGCTTGATAATTTTCTGTTTCTGCATTTAAAACACAAGGCTTTGCCAAAATGCACGGAGGAGTGTTCTCTACTATTAGCAAAACCTACTTCCATATTCCTGACAAATGTGGTTGCTTTGACTAGAGCTGTTACTGTGTGTCAGCTGAGCTGTAGTTTGTTGCAAAAGAGAGGTAAAAGGTAGCTTAAGCCCTTCCCATGGGCAAGCACCTGCAGTCTTTCTCTTGTGACTGAGTTCATACTTAAGTGAATACGTACTAGTGACTAGGTCACAGCTCGGTTGTTTGAGGCTTTTGAACTTGTTTTATCAGCTACCACTTCTCTCCCACTAAAATACTTAGCAAAAGGTAGGTATTTTGACATGGGAAATTTCAGTTTCTGTGAATGGAATTTGGTAGTCATAAACATGCAGTGAAAAGTAACAAGAAACCTCAAGTGTGTGTATGCTGCCAATTCTGTTGGATGGAAATACAATATGTTGCGACTGACTGGTTGCAACATAGTGTGAACAGTTAATTTTGGGGAAAAAAATTGAAGATTATTATTTCTTTTAATTACTTTCTGTAAATGTGTGTGCATTTGATTCCTTTGTGAGTCATCATATCTTGAAAATTTTGTGTTTGGTGCTTGAGTGTTGGTCTGTTGGGGAAATAAAATTGGAAAAACTTCTAACTGCTCCATTTTCAAAGCTGTCAGCATTTAAGAGTCTGTGAAAGTTAGTCAAGGCAGAATTTCTTAATTTCTGTCTTATTAAGCGGTGCTTAGCTATCCTGATTGTTTTGTCTCAGGAATAGAATAAAACATGCTTCTCTAAATATTCGTGGTTTATGCAGAACAACATGTTGTAGTTGTTTGAAACTGGTACATTTAGCAGGAGAAGTTTTTTAAAAAATCGCATAACATGGAAGTAATATGCTTAGAATTTATGGAGTGTTAATAAGACAGTATTTAAAGATTTACTAGAAAATGTGTTTTCTCTCTTGAAGAAATTTTAACCTTCTTTCCTTTGGGGAAGAAGCTGAAGAAGAAGAGGAGGAAGTCAACAGAGTTAGTCAGGTACTGTCCCTTTTTTCTTTTCAACTCAAAATTACCTTTTCTGCATGTTTGTGAAAAGCTTTAAAGTTCTTCATCTTGTTCTTATGTTTGAGTTTTGAACAGTAATACTAGAAATTACCTCAGATTTTATGATCTTAACATATTGGAAAAACAGCTTTTTAACTTTTCTAACTTTGAAGGTGACTTCAGTTATTCATGATATTTTTACATTTCCATATAGGTTCATATTTCATAGTGTAGGTCTATGTCTGGTGTTTAAAATTCGTACGGGAGATAGGTACTTCATTCCTCTTCGCCTCTTCAATTATAAGAGTGTGATTTGATGCTAAAATACTTGAGATTTGAAATAGATTATCTTGTTAATTGCCAGTGCATTTGTAGCTCTGTTTTCTGGTGTATATCCATTCTGTGTGCAAAATGAAGTGGGGTTAGGGTGGGGATAATAGCGTATTATCATAATTAAATATTGCACAATTTTGAACTGTCCACATGCACAGAACTCGGGTTGCATAGGTAGTGTTTGATATTTCGTTACCTGACTTGGCCACTTAAAGAAGGCTAGCTTAAAAATTTCTTTCACATGTTTTCTTTCTCATTTCTGCTGCTGACCAAATTATTTTTCTAGAGCCCTAGACTTTCTGGCCAATTTGTACAATTTGGGCACATACCTGCTTCAGTTAGTGATCAGACTTCATGGTACTGAGTGTTGTACCACAGAAGTGAAAAAATGGTCTTCAATCCTCAGGGTTTAGTTAAAATAGAAAAGACAACCGTGAGTAATGATGGCCAGTATTACAGTGAAATGGTATCTGTCAGGATGGTAGCAGAGGTTTATCACAACAGTAGTTTTAATTATTTTTCTTTCTTGTTTCAGCTTACCAGTCAGACTAACTATACTTGTTTACCTTAACATGCTCATCTGCAGCTCTGCTCTTGGTATACGTCTGGGTTTTAATATCGCGTTTTAATTCTGTTGCTTTGATGTTCTTCACTGTCGTGCCAAATGCTTGCTTTTCAGTTTGAAATTACCTCTTTCATGATGAGCTCAGTTTCAGTGTTGTCATGCTGTCTTCAACTCAGTCTTAAAATCTTGTACTCGCGTTTGTCTTGACTAAATTCTGGACTGGCTGTAGCTGGGAAAATAGCCAAATCAACTGTTCATGAAGAATTTCTATTCATTCTTTAGAACAGAATGCCACCTTTTTTTCCAGACCTCATTGCTTGTTTCTGATAGGTCTAGATAAGTAGCTCTGTAGTCCTGGACATTATCTTAGTCTTGATTAAGATGAAAGATGTGACCTTCAACACCAACTTTCATTCTCCGTTTCCAGTAAGAAAAATTGAAGGTCAAAGTTAATAATGGGATTCTTTGACATCCACAAAGTCAGACTCTTTCTGTGAACTTTTTTTCATTGCTAGATGCAATAAGTCTTGCTTGTTTCGATGTAAGAAGTGTTTACTTACAAGGACTGAGGTTGAGAGAAAAGTCTACAAGTAACAGGAATATTCTAACAGATCGGGGAAAAGGGAATATTTTCTATTAATTTTTAGTGCAGTGAGGCTGAAACTAAAATTATCTAAAGAGTAAATGAGAACACCATGTATCAGGATGAAATTTTAGTGGTATTTAATAGTTTAATGTTTAGATGTGAAAAATAAGAATTCTTGTCTTAGTCACATCTTATTAACCAAGCAAGTACTAGATGTAAGAATGGCTACTTACGTTTTTTTCTCCATCTTCTCCAATGTGAACAATTTTCTATTCTGGACTTGTTTGGCCTATGCTACACTTAGTCTAGGTGAGGGAGTGAATATGTTTTGCCTTTGCTGCAGTGCATCACCAGACTTTTGTTCCTGAGACTACAAAGATGGACAAGAAGAATAACTGTAAATATGGATCATGATAACTTTAAAATAAAAAAAAAAAGGTAAAGAGGGAGGGAAAGATGAGAATGGTTATTCACTGTTTCTTGCAATGTGGAAAGTGAGACACAAAGATAAAAGAGCAAGCAAATATAAAACAAAAAAGTATTTTTCCCTCTTGAAATTCAAGTAGTGAACATTTATGCCACGGAGCATAATTAAAGTGAGAAGTACAAATACTTTCAAAAAAGAGATTAAACGAGGTTAGGGCCTTGGTGTCTTTTAAATGTTATGGGTCAGATTGTGTCTTCTGTATCAGGGGAGTCTCTAGATGGTTGTATTAGAGTATGAATCTTAGAAGGGAAATTTATGTACCCCAGGAGGTTATAAAAGGCAGAGATCACAGTATTAAGGAGATTTATGTCAAGGAGTGGCAAGAGCAGAACGGTGGCATGAAGGAGGGCGAGCAAGGAGGCAAGGGTGATTCCAGCACAGGCAGTGCACGCGCCAACAGGAGCACAATCCCACAGGTCTGGATACAACAGGCAGAGTTGGTCCCTGGTAACAGAGTCCGTCAGTGGTCCTGGACACGGAAGCTATAACCAAGACCGAAGTCCCCATCCAGAGAGTCCAGTCAGAAATGGGACAGGAGGCAGGGCTGGAGATAAGTCTACAGTGTGAGTCCAACAGGCCCATCCAGAAGACAGGACTAGACAGAGGTACACCTCTGACATAGCTCAGGAAGCGAGTAATTCTCGGGCCTGAGCTGAAATCGTGCTCATGGCCAGAGGAGCTCCAGGTAAAACTCCTGAAGGCCACTAAGGCTGTTACTGCAGTCGAGGACTTGACAGTAGGGTCCCCATTCATTGTTGATTAGTGTTTAAACTGAAGCTCTCAGTGTTCAGACTGCTCATTTAATTGTCTGTACTTGTTTGGAGCAGTTTGCAAAGGTGATAAGCACTCGTGTTTTGTTGTGTGTAGCCCCTGAACACAGGCACAAATAACATGTTGAAGGAAGTAATTTTTCGTGTCGCTGAATGTGTTTGTCTTTTTTTCTGCATAATAAAAATTGAAGTTCTATTTAAATGAGTAAGATTTTATTATCCACACAACTACTGTCTTTCTGAAAGGATTATAAAATGCAGCTGAAATGAAGACATTCAGGTCACAATACAGACTGTTTCTGTAACAGTCAGATTTCAGTCTTAAATTTAAGTGTACCTTTTGGATTTGCATGGGGAATGCTTTCTTACTGCAGTCTTTCTACCTGGAGATATTATGTGGTATTAGATTTGTTTGATTGCTTGCTTCAGTAGATAATTCCTGCATGATGTATTGCAGGTTGTTAATTTCTTTTTTCCATGGATCTAATTAGTGTTCTACAGATTGCTGAGTACTGCTTTGTATGTGGTCATTCTTTGAGTTGTCATATGTCATTATTGGAAAGTCCGAGTTCTTACCTCTTCATTCACTCAAGTATACGTCTGCTAGACCATGTATCTTTATGAAGTTTAATGACTGTGGTGATTAAACTGTATCTCTCTTTTTTTTCCTCTTTCCTTTAAAATTAAGTGCGTTACTATTGCAAAACTATTTTGTTAATCATGGGGTCAGTTTGATGCTCCTTTTGCTGGAATGCTTTCTCTATTCTTCTGCTATTAAAAGTGTTTATGCGTGCTGGTTAGGCTGAAGCTGACAAGAAACAAGTATCTTCTTAGCATTGTCCTTTTTCACCACTTACTCTCTCAAACACTGAACTTTGTAATACTTTTTTTTTTTTTTGACAGAGCATGAAGGGAAAAAGTAAAAGTAGTCATGATCTGCTGAAGAATGATCCACATCTAAGCTCAGTTCCTGCTGTCAAAAGGTTAATGTGATTTCCAATTTCCAGAACAGATTTACTTTCCAGATGCTGGACTGGATTAGCATCATGTATACTCATTGTTTGTCTGTTACTCTTTAAGAAATTAAGAATAGCAATGCTGGATTGGACCAAATGTTCCTCTAACCTGCTATGCTGTCCCCAGTGTTGGCCATCAGTGGATGCCCAGCAGGGCAAGCATAATGTTTCCCTGAGTAGTCTCCCACCCCCCATCTACTTTCAGATCAGGGGACTGTCAGAGTTTGAAGAGATTCCTCTATTTAGTAATCCTAATAGAGCTCTTGTCAAAGTATTTATTCAGTCTCTTGTAATACTGTTTACATTCACACCTTTCTGCTGCAGGAAGAAGTATCTCTGCTTTTTGTTCTGAACTTGGCTGCTACTGATGTCATTTGATAATTTCTAACTCTTATGCTAGAAAATACAGTCAGTCCCTTTATACCTCTCTTTACCACCATCCCTTCTTAGGCCATCTCTTTTCTAGCCTAAACTTTTAAAGCCTACTCAACTTTTTTTCAAGCAGAAGTTGTTCTGTATCTGTGGTTATTCTTGTTGCTCTTCCCAACTGATGCTGTGAAAAGCTGCAGTTGAAGACCTAATAGTCAGAGGGCTGTTAAGCAGGTATTCTTTATTGCGGTGCCGGGTACACGAGGGATCTCTCCTCCAAACGTGCGCGCCAAACACCCTGTCATTTCAGATTAAATACAATCACAGTATACATTTTCATTATATTTCTGAGAAATGCTTAGCATATTTATGATTCTTCCAAGAACTAATTAGCATATGTTAATATCTTTCACGCATGTCTGTTAGCGTCCTCGGGTGGTATTTGGGGGTCTCAAGATGAAGGCTTACACTCCTCATCACAGTGTCTGCTGGTTGACCTTTGTTTCTGTGCAGACTCAGTTCTAAGGTTATGTATACCGTGTCCTTCCAGGTTGTTTTGCTTTGGTCTCGTTGCCCTCTTGGTGCCTGTTTATCTCTGTAGCTTGGTCCATCTGCCCTCTCAAGGCTGAGCTGTCAGGGGTAGAATTATTTAGGAGCGTCTCTATGTTAGAGCTTTCCTGTCTTCTCAAAACAGCAAGTCAAGTTTGTCTAAGTAGTGTTATTGAGGAGCCTCTTTATCTTAGAGCTTTCCTGTCTTCTCAAAACAGCAAGGATCTACTTTAGTTTAATTACAATCACTCTAGTAAGTGGAGATTTTACATTTACAGGTATCACAACCCAGGTTCTGTTCTAAAATATTTCATTTTTTCAAATCTAAACAACGTACTAAAAATGAAGTTAATCATAAATCTGTATGCTTGCATAAAGAAGGTCTGTGTTTTCTTCTCTGTTTCTTTTTAGTACTTCTTAACTTTTTATTTGCTTTTTTAACCATTGTTGAGTATTGAGCTGACACAATTCCACAAAAATATATCAGCTCCAAGAATTTACTTGTCGTAGAATCATAGAATAGTTTGTGTTGGAAGGGACCTTTAAAGGTCAGCTAGTCCAACCCGGCTGCAAAGAGCAGGGACGTCTTCCACTAGATCAGGTTGCTCAGGGCCCCATCTAACCTGAGCTTGAATGTTTCCAGAGATGAGGCATCTACCATCTCCCCAGGCAACCAGTTCCAGTGTTTCACTACCCTCACTGTAAAAAATTTCTTCCTCATATCTAGTCTGAATCTACCCTCTTTTAGTTTAAAACCATTACCCCTGTTCTCTCGCTACAGGCCCTGCTCTGTCCCCATCTTTCTTATAAGCCCCCTTTAAGTACTGAAAGGCTGCTGTAAGGTCTCCCTGGGGCCTTCTCTTCTCCAGGATGAGCAGCCCCAACTCTATCAGCCTTTCGTCACAGGAGAGGTGTTCTGTCCCTTATATCATTTTTGTGACCCTTCTGATCTGCACGTAGGATTCCAGGTGGGATCTCACCAGAGCAGAGGGGCAGAATCACTTCCCTTGACCTGCTGGCCGCGCTGCTTTTGATGCAGCCCAGGATATGGTTGGCGTTCTGGGTTGTGGGTGCACGTTGTTGGCTCACGTCAGCTTTTCATCCACCAGTACCCCCAAGTCCTTCTTGGCAGGGCTGCTTTCAATCCCTTCATCCCCTAGCCTGTATTGATACTGTGATTTGCCCCAACCCAGGTGCAGGACCTTGCACTTGGCTTTTTTGAACCTCTTGAGGTTCATGCAGTCCCACTTCTCAAGCCTGTACAGGTCTCTCTGGATGGCATCCCATCCCTCAGGTGTGTGAACCGCACCACTGAGCTTGGTGTCATCTGGCAGCTTGTTGAGGGAACACTTGATCCCACTGTCTGTGTCATTGATGAAGATATTCAACAGCACTGGTCCTAATAGAGACCCTTGAGGGACACATCATGATCAATGATGGTCAGCTGAGAGCTCCTTGTTCTGTATGTGGGACTCCTTTTCCTCATGTGTGTAAGTTTACTTTTGTTTACTTCAAATTTCATGTATCATTTTATTATCTCATCATTCAGGTGCTTCTGCAATTCTTAAGTCGTCTCTTGGCTTTACTGTCCTGAGTAACTTAGTATTTATCAAAAAAATCTGTGACCTGGCTGTTTGCGTTGTTACTGAGCTCACTGAACAGCTCAAGCCCCAGCACAGACTACTGTGGATATACACTTGTGATCTTCCGTTGCTAGAAGTGATTGTTTGCTTCTAACTTCTGTTTTGCTTTTAACCATCTATTTATTCATGCATAGACTTTCCCATCACCCCAGGACTATTAATTTCCTTAAAAACCTTTAGTCAGAGACACTATGTGAGTCCAAATATATGAGAGATCATCCATAACTACATGTAGTCTCTTCAAAACACTCCCAGAGGTTGGTAAGGCAGTTATGTTTATAGCCATGTGAAAAATCCCAGGTAGATAATTTTACCTCTTCCCGTGGCTTCTGCTTGTTCAGGACTTACATCAGATGTGGATGCATTCTAAGTACTTTAATACTTACAAATGTAGTGTTGTTTTGTTTTTTAGTTATTATCTTCTATTAAAGAATACTATGACAGAGTATTCCTGGATTGATTTTTTAAATGAAATTGGTGTCATGCATTCCAACAAATTTGCCATTTCTTTGGTGACCTTGATTACTTGTTGATGGCTTAGAGTGCACCTCAAAGCCTTAACTTTGGGGACTTCTTTAATATTCCTTGCTTTGTTTCTCATAACTTCTCTTTTAAATTGTGGGTTAGAAAAATCTTCAAGCCTCTTTATTATTAGTTTGTGACAATTAACAGTGGATATGTTAGCCTTAGTATATTCAGATGGATTCCTTTTTTAATACACTAAACAGTAGCTGTATAACAAAGCAAAATTTTGATGTTAAGCTTAATTATGTGTAGCATATGTTGAACATGCCTATATAAAGAAGGCTTTCCAAAATATAGACTACTTGCAATGAAATGCTAGCGATTGTTTGATGTATGAGATCAAAAACATCCATCTTAAGTGAGCTTTGTTGGTTTTTTTCATTCTATCTGTATACTTCAGTGTTTTGTCTGGATAGCTCAAGGTATGCTTAGAATTTATCCATTGCATGAAAGTCTGTGGTTTTATCCTGTATTTTTAAACATTTCTAATGAGAAAGGATTATGACAGTCAAATGATAGAAAATACTATTTACTGATACTTTTAAGATGAACGTGAGAATGATGTAAGTGACTAGTTTGACTAAAATTTCACGTAGCTAACGAAACAGAATTTTTTATTTTAGAACTGTTTTTTTTAAACAGTATTTTAAATCTCTGGTACTTCAAAGTAGTTATGATTATTTTTCTTCTTTTAGTGAAGCAGCAAGTGAAGAAAGGGATTTGAGTGAGGTAAGTAACATTTTTTTTACGAATAAGTCTTGTTTTTTACTCTGTGTGAATTAGATTTTCTTAGGGGAACAAATGCTACTTTAGAGGTTTTTGAAAACGATCTCAAGTCAGATTTCCACCAAAAGGCTGGAGGACCTTTCAGAGCTCTAAGGTTTGGCCATTGTGATCATTCACAGCAGAATAGAGTTGCTACTACGTACTACCTACTGTGTTTTATAAAAACTGCTTACCAGATCTTTCAGTCAGTAGATTAGGTATATGGGAGGTTATTTACCACAGAGTGACAAACCATTAATAGAAACCCTGAAATTGCTTCTTAAAAAAAAAAAGTTGAAATTAAGTTTGTCACAAATAATGATACGACTCCAGTGTGTGAGGAGAAATCTATGTCTGAGTGAGAGTCCTATTGAAAGATTTCTGCAAGGAAACAAAATTTCAGTAAATATTTATCACTTAAATTGTATTAATGAAGACTGTTGCCTCTGAAAGACAGGAAATCTCTATGACCATGCAATAATGTTCAACCAAACATTGAAACTATTTTAATTACAAGGAGATTGTCATCCGTTGTGCAGAGTAACGTCGCTAGCTGGCTCCAGTTATAGGTCATGGGGGTACCCCTTTGAGTTGCAGCTGAGACAAGGATGTAATATTTGACAAGGAATGCAATCTCCCATTCCCCAAACTGAATCCTGAAAAGTACTCTTTTCCGTATCTATCCACCATGCACAGGTACTGCACCTGTTAGTTAATGCACTGTGGAAGTGAAGGAAAGGCACAGTCCATCCCATTCTTGTGGCTAAGGAAAAAAAAAAACAATAAAAACCCACAAAAATAATCTGCTTCCACCCTGTTTCCTTTTGTGTTTTCCACAAAGCATAGTATGAATTCAGGTTCTTGGGATCTTCTTTGTAATTCCTCCTGTCCAGGAGCATTTCAGTGTTAGAAGGGTTCTGAGAATGGTATTTAATTAAATATTCTTCAGATGTTCCAATATCCCTTTGTTAAGTGAGCTGGATTTGGGGAATACAGAACAGGGACAGGTCAGGTATATTTATTTAAATGTTTATTTTTCAGCCTAATTAATCTGAATGCTGTTACAGTAACGTCATGAAGTCGGAAATAGGAAGGCTTTTTTCCTACAGGTGCTTTCCTTAGATTTCATTTCACTGAAAGATCTTATCTAGAATCTGGCATTTCAGGCAGTTACCTGAGCCTTGTGAAGTGTTACTAGTATTTTATCATCTCTCTTGGATATGTTTCAGTTAACACATGACAGGATCACTTTCACATTGACTCGGCTGCAATGCATTGGTAGTTTTATAGCCATTCTGTGAGCAAATAATTCTTCCAGATCTCCCTACCTCCCCCAAATAACAAGTCCCTAGCGTGTAAGAGCAACTCTTGTTCTTATTCCTGAAGTGCCTGACCTTGCTGTTCATGCTATTAAATATCATCCTGTTTCTCTTACCGCAGTCCTCAGGGTCATATATTTCATGCTTTGATAGTTGGATCCTTTGTATTAAGAGTACCTCATTGCTATTTGTTGAGCCTCTTTTTGGGCCTAAGTCATTAATGAATACGTTATATGAAATGTGTTCACAAGACTGAACTTTTTTTTTTCCCCACCGGTGACATTCTTCCATTTCCCCTTTCTGCAGAATTTGTTTTCCTCTCCCTATTTGTCAATTAGTTGCTGAACAGTAAGTTTCATGTAGTACTATAGATAAATAAAGCTTGATATCTGCCTCCCAATTCAATAGTCTTCTCAGGCAGCTAAATCATATTACATAGAGTAGCCGTTAGACATTCTAACACAAAGTCTCTCATTACATTTTTATTTCCAGAGCAAAGAGAAGAACAGGGCAACTTCACTCAGCTAACAAGAGCAGCAAATACTAATACAGGTTCCAGGCAGGCAGTTTTGTATTTCTGTGTCACCAGGGGAACACCGTCATCCAGATGAACAGCTGCTTCCCTGCTGAGCTGTCAAGTAGCCCACTCTAGGAGGAAATGTGTTAAATCTATTAGTTGGTAATCAGAGTTCAGGAAAATGAGAATCTAAAAGATATGAGACTAGATGGATTTAATGAGACAGAAGAGGGACTGAATGAGGAGAAAAGGGTAGAGTTGCAGGAGAACTGGGGTTGAGGAGAAAGGTTATATCCTATTTTGTGAGTTTTTTCCTAGAAGAAAACTGGTGAAATCCTGTGCAGAGTGAGGAAAATGGAAGGTTCAGAAAGTAGGGGATTCAGCTGAGTTGGACAAGTTGAACCATTTTGTCTCCCATTTTAGAATACCGTCCATGGAACTCCTTCCTGTTACTCAGATTTCTGTATTTTTGTATTAGCTTACTAAGCAATTGCAATTTGTTTTGAGTTGTCCATTTTGTGTTCTAGAAATTCTCCTATCCAATGCTTTGTGTTTCAGTGAAATGCTCTTACGTAAGCCCTAGACAAATCTCCACCAGGAATCTGTCTTTATCCTTGACAGTTAAACACCTTGAACACAGCTGTCACATTCCTTTTCTGGATTCTGCCCCCTGCTACAGAGGTCTGTTGTCAGCTCATCTCCCTGATAATTTATCAAGTAAACAAATCCTTCAGGATGTTTCATTATCTCCTCTACCAAATAATAACTTTCTGGGAAATTAAGTGAAATGCTGATCCTGTTCCACTTTTCTCTGTCCCGTATTTAAGAAGGACAAAACCCCCACAACAATTTGTCAGTTACTTCTTTAATGAATGTTGCAGTTTGGCCATGGCCGGCAACAAAGGGCCATAGGGTCACTCTGCCGCCCTTCCCCCCACTGGGGTGGGGAGGAGAATGGGAAGAAAAAGGCAAAAACAGTTTAACAGAACAGCAAACAAAGCGAACAGTAACAACAACAATACAGAGAAGGAGAATATACAAAACAAACAGCAAAATGCTCAGAGCAACTCTCACCACCCGGTGCTCCGTGTGCTCCCGAGCTGCAACTGCCTTCCCCCCGCCAGCTGCCCGACCGGAGCCCAGCATGATGGCACACGGTATGGAATACCCTGTTCTGTTTGGCCAGGTTGGGTCAGCCCACCTGGCTGAATCCCCTCCTGGCATCTTGTGAAAATTAACCCTGGCCAAACCCAGGACAATGAAATATTCAGCTATTTTACTGTGGTGAATATTTGCAGATTTCAGTTTTTATTCCTGACTTGTCTTCTCTTGTCTAAATCTAAAATCTAAGCATGGTAGTCTGAAGATGCCTGAACAGTGACTCAAAGACGACATCTGAAATCTAGCTCTGGATTCTCTCTTCTGTTCCCAAAAGCGTGCTGCTTGCTGCTTGTAATTTTTTCCCCTCTCCCCCTCCATGTTTATGGACATGGTCTTTGTGCTACTCTTCCTCCTACCTGTCAGTCACACCTAGGACGTGTACATTGTCTTCATAGTGTTCCTGTCCAAGTGCTGACATCCTGGCAGTCTCCTGGATACAGTACAGTCTCTAAAATATCATTTCTAAGTCTGTCATTTCTCTCTGTGTGGTTAAAATTACTATCAAATGATATCTTATGCTTTTTCCGTAGCTATTTAGCATCACTCCAAAATAAATATAAGATGATATGCCATGTAGTCTTTGATATGACGTCCTTCCGTTAAGATTCGTGTAGGCTTCCTTCTTCATGGAAGAAAGTAGTCAAACTTAGATCCCTTGATCTAGTCAGACTCTTCGTTACTGAGAGGAATGACTTACTTCTCCCTCCAAAAGTCTTTGAACCAAGGTGGTTTATCCCCTTTTGCCTTCCTCTGCTAGGCCTGGAAGCACAGTACCTCTGTAGCAAGTTGGGATGATTGATTCCACAGGTTTTCACAGCATCTTTTGATCAATGTGGTATTTGTAAATTCCCTCATGGAGACTGATGGGCAAACATCTTCCATCCCATCATGAATGTAGTATAGCCCTGTGGCAGGAAGTTCTTAAAAAGTTTTGTTTTGTCTTAGTGGAAAATGAAGGAAATGTTTAACATATTGCCTTGATAACATTTTGAATTCATGAACAATAACCAGACTAATACGATATTGCTATGAGGTCTTCTGCAGACCTGTAAAAGACTGTTTGAGTTTATTAAGCCATAAAAAAGGTGTCATATGTGTATGAAAAAATATTTAATTTTCATATTTCTAATTTTTTGTTCCCTCTGAAGCAAATAAGGAGACATTTGTTTGAAGAGTTTGCTTTGAAAGGAAGTATTTTTCTTCTTCTTTTGTAAAGGATTATCTTTGTAAAAAAAACTTTCCATATTCAACATTCTATAGTGAAAAAAAAGCTAAAGGAGAAGTTTTTGTCATTTTAAATCAATAAAGGAGGAAGAAGAACATGATGAAGATGCTGATAGTGTAGAAGGCGAAGCTGCTAGCAATGAGAGATTTCAAATAAAAGAACGCATTGCTAAGAAGTTGAAAATTGATGCAAGTGAAAATGCTAAACAGCAACTTCAAGAGGAAGACACTAAGACAGAAAAGAAAATAACTAGTCGCAGGTAAGTATCATGCTTTTTTTCTTCCTTCTTGTTTTTTCATTCAGCTAGTTTATAGTTGGATTTTCTGCTCAATTCCGGTTTTGCAGTTTCTGCATTGATAGGTCAGTCATACATTCAAATTATTCCCCCCTGCCCACCTCCAGCTGTGGAAGATGATATTGCCTATTGGTTTCTCATTTCCTAATTTCACTTGGCAGTTTGAGCCAGTCAGTTAAGTTACATTTTGTTACACTGAGCACTTATTAATACCTTGTGTGGTAGTTTTATTTTCCCCTGTGAGTTCTAAATGAAGAGTATTTATACGTATTTTTCATGCTTTACTTTGTCTTTCTACACGGTTGTAAGATTGAGTTTTGTAGCTTTGTCGGTGATAACATGTGGTGGTCATCCACCACTGAGATTTACAGAAAGTAAAGGCTTCCTAGTCATTCATTAAATTCTGCTTTAACACAGTAGTCATTCTTACAGTGTACTAGTTTTTCAACACTGCAATTGATATGTCAGTTTTTAGATACTGTCTAGGGCTGTTCCTAGAGGGTTGGAATATGTCTGTGTTTAGTAGTGTAACACTGTATTCAAATCAGTAAACTAGCTCTAGACAAATTATTACATTTCTGTAGCAGTATTCAGCTCTTCACAGACATAAAAGCGTGGGTTCCAGTCCCATAATATAGCTGTGCCAACCTTTGTGAACATCTGTACTGGTTAGCACTCAATTTTCAGTAAGTTAGTTTGTTTTCTTGGAACTTTGTGTCTTGGCAGTTTTTCTTCCAGAGCTGGTTTGCAAATTTCTGCCTAATGATATTTATATTGCATAAAAACATTGGTCATATATGCAAGTGCTGTGTAGTGGACCTGATGGCAAGCTTGCTAGGAATTATTGTCCAGTATTTCTGTAAACATGGGCTTGAGAAGTTACTGAACAATTAAGTCTTTGCAGTTATAAAGTTAAACATGTATATTTACTTATTCAGTAAAACTTACTGGGGGATACGGATAGGGGTAGGAGGCATCAGAAAGGTAGTTTAGATTTTATACTCTGCATAGTTGTCACAAATAACTGCCCGATGAAATTATTCAGGCTTTGCTTATATTAAATTCTGCTTGTGTAATGGCTGTCTGAGATCTCTTCCGCAACAGTTTCCTCTGAACCGAACTATTCCCCCTGTTTTGTTTTGTTTTTTTTTTTTTTTTCCTTCCGTCTTTACCGCCACTGCAGATATGGTTTAATATGTAATGGCCAAGGCATATTGCCAACATAAAAGAATCCAGGACAGTCTGTTTGTGACAAAAGAATACCTGGTAGTCAATGTAAATGCTTCACAAGTTCCATAGCAGTTACCATCCCTATTAATAATTGGGAAGTAAAGGCTTTGGGTCAAGGCACATGAAGATAGATTTGTTGTAATAATAATACACTTTGAGGTAAAATACATATTGAACCTTTGGTTGGAAAACAGAATGAGTGACTGAAACAAAATCAATTGTTATTTTACAGACATCAAAAATTCATGTGTCTGACTTACACTGCTTGAAGGCTATTCTGGTTTTATATGACTATATGTACCTGCTAAAAGTAAAAAATACCTAAATCGTGTTGAAGAAGGGGCTGTTGTCAGTTATGGTGGACATTCGATCCTCATCTTATTTGTAAAACAAAACTAATTCTTAAGATAAGACAAAAATCGCACCCTGACCTTTGCAGCTTGATGGATAGCGATTTGATTATTTTTAATGAAAGAATTTAATGTGATTCTAAAAGCAAGATTAGTAAGTTTTGAGCATTCCATGTGAGGTGGTATTTTTAACTCTGCGTGGCCTGTAGATTTAGAAGCAAGCCATGCTTTAAGAGTGGTAGGAACACTTTAATTATTTTGGATAATCTTTTTATATATTCATATATAAAATATAATTTTAATATTATATTAAAATATACCAGCAACCAATATACCAAGTGTTACTGTTTGTCTACATTTTCTGGAGCAGTGAAAAGCCCAGGGAGAACAATGCCAATAAAATAATTTTTGTTAACCACTTTAGTAAGTTTGAATAGCTCCACAAAATAAAATATGGGATTTAAGCAGGAAATTCAGTGTCCTTTCAATCCTCTCCAGTATTGATTTGAATCTGAGAAGCACACCAGATACTGTACTGAAGCCTGTGCCATTTGAGCAAATCTGAGGTTTTAGTCAGTTTGTTTTCAGGCCTAGATGATGTTACTTCCAAAGTTCCATGTAGTTATGTGTTTGCTGAGAGAACATTGAATGTACTTAATAGCTGGAGATAAATAAACAAGAGCATTTTGGTATCAAATACCCAGCACTATAACATGAAAGGATATTATAGTAAACACAACTGTAATTTAAATGGGCATTAGTTTTTCCTGTCATACGATTTTACTTTTAGTTAGAGGCAAGGCCACTAACTTTCGTGCTTTGGCAAACTCTTTGTAGTCAACAAGATTTGTGTGGTCAGATGTGTAAATTGATGTTAAACCATTTCTTTTGGAGCCATACGTAAACCTGATCTCTTTGTAGAACCATGTAGGCTTATGTACACCACCGTAAATCTATTTCATGAGCATTGCCTTTCTGTTTTTCATTCTTCTTTTCTCTATAAGAGCACCTAAATGACAGTACATGAAATTTAGTGCCATGTTTAAATGGCCGTGCTAGATACAACTAGGTATTGTTTCAGAGGACATACACAAGACATCTTTTAAGAACCTATCCGTTGTTTTTCCTTTCTGACATCTTTGAAGTTGTGCTATGTGGCTGCTTTGGAAATTGATGGCTGTACTATCTCTGCTGTAAACAGCTGGTCCACTGGAAATGTACTGAGATCGAGGAGGATGATGGATAACTTGGATCCCAAAATCTGGTTATTAGTCCTACAGTTGAGATCGATGCATAATCCCAGTGTAAATTACATGAATATTTATCTTGTGTCAATATGTGGGACAGAAGTACAGGAGGTGGTTTTCTGTCTCAAATCTTGCTGAAACCTTGTGCTGAAGCAGTTTCCTGACTGCAGAAGGAAGTAATTCCTGTATTTCAGTACTCTGCATTGGGTGATTGATTAATCCTGCACCCTAATAATGTTTGTGATATTACTATAATATTCCCCAATACAGAATAAGTACAAGCTTCTTGGAGTCAATGAACTGTTCTTGATCATGGAGATTGGACAAATACAGATTAGTGTTAGATAGCCATATCAGATAGTGGAGGTGAGGATTCACAAATTTAAAAGTTCTCCAAGAAAAGCATTTTCTGAAAAAATACCTTCAAGTACATGGCAGACAAATAACATCTTTAGAATAGGAAAAGACATTGGACACTGTACATACTTGCTACCTACCTGTGCACCAATCTGTTCAACTGTCTGCTGGGTTTTACAGAGATGGCTGCTAGAAACAAATGTGCCTGAGGTATAATAGCATGTTTGTAGCATGGAGGGATCACAAAGCTAGAGCACACCCTTAGGAATGAGACTTTATGCTAAAGCTTGCACAATGTTTTATCACATTTTCAGACACATGTAGGCATTCTGTAACCTGCTGTCTCTGCATGTTTACGGTCAATGTGCTGTGTTTGTGGTTATTCAGCTGTTTCGGGGCAGTAACAGTAGTGTTCTAGCCAGAAGGGTTATCTCAGCTCAGAAGAGGGTTTTATGTTTTCAGCAGCTGGGAGCTGTAGTCTTGTGAGACACTGCTTAGTGCCACAAGTGGCATCAATTTCTAGACTCACTGTTTTCTAAATAATTGTCTGGCATCCTCTGACATGAAAATCAAAGGCATGGTATTGTTTGTTTTAGATAAGGTGTTACTAACTTTGAGGTGTGGTGAGATAAAGCAAGATAAACATTATTAAGTTTCATTGTCTGGAATAATGACTGTTTTGTAAGTGTACTGGAGATGGTTGATAATATGCTGATGGGACTTCACCACCCACTGTAGTCCAAGTGTGTGTTGATCAGAGCCAGGTATGTGGGAGGTGCAAATAACTAACAAAAAGTTGGATCCACCATACATAGCTTGAAGGGTAATGCCTACTAAGATGTCAGAGGGCCAAGAAATGTATCTGTCACAATTGTTCATCTCATCAGATATTTAAATGTGCTAATAGAATAATCGAACTTCTAAAAATATTTTTTCAGAGTACAGTCTTTTAACATACATTACTTTTTCTACAAATCTGTATTCATTTGTATTGGTCCCGTTTCTTTTAACACAAATCCATTTGTGAAGTCAGAAGTTTGCACATCTGTTTCACGGAAGCAATGTGGAAACAATAGACACCTCACATTCATAGTGCTGAGATCCAATACCACTTCTAAATGCAATCACACTTGGAGTGCTCAAAGAGTGAAGTTAATTTTAGTCATTCTAGTATGTATTTGAACCTTTTGTGTATGTTTTAAAAAATAATTTGAGACACTGTCCAATTTTGTGTTAGGTAGGAGACTTCAGGAAAAATAATTTCCCACTCATCCTGACAAGTTGTTAGAGAAATTCCATAGGTCTGTTGTTTTTTTATTAGAAAACTTAAGCCTGAACTTCAAAGTATGGAACAGCTGTTTACATGAAGGAATGTATACAAATAGAAGAAGTGTTTGCCATCATTGCAATAGTAGTCAAATTTGTGGGCATTACATTGAGTTTGTAAAATGGCAGTGGCTCGAGATGAGCATCTGAAGGCTTCAGGTATATAGTTCTCTTCTACTTTGGCTAGTAAAAATATTGCTTTTACATTTGTTTTCATCCTGTAGGTGGAGCTCGGGTGCCACACATTTCTGGTTGCCAGCTTTTAAAAATTTTCACCACTTCTTGTTTGCAAGACATGGTGTGCAAGTAGAGTACAGTTGACTGTACAGGTTTTCACTGTACAGTCAGCAATTTCAGTTGCGTCCTTATAATGGATGTGCTGTTATATAGCAATATGAAATAGGTGTCTAGAATAGCCAAATTATTGAGAAAGAAAAGTGACTTTTTTGTTTGA